TAGGATAACAATATCTATTGTTCCTGCTACAATGGAGAAATAACCACCAGTCCAAAATTTACAAATAGCATAGGGATCAACAGCAGAAAGCACAAGCTACACAACATAGAAAGCACTTTTTTGATTGGGTCATTATTTTTGAATTTACTAAACTTAATAGCTCTGAATGTGGCCGTTGTGTGGTCACACAAAACACTAATTTAAAAAATTTCATGAAGAGAAATCAAAATCTGCTTCCTATGTTGCGTGCTCCAAACATATAGCTTCATGCTGCAAAAAAATTATTCTGCTATCTGTAATAGCTTCTGATATATTGCAGAAATTTTCATGCAGGGTGTACAAAATTGCCCTTTTGAGAGAATGAAACAAGGAATTTTAACATTTTTAACCGAAAAAAATGTATGTACTTAGAATTAGAAACAGATCGAAAATTGAATGAGTACTTCTGGAATTACAGTGCAATAGTTCATTACATGTAACCAAAAACAAACATTTTTATATTAAAAAAAATGAAGGTGCCCATTAAAAATCTGCTCTCAGCATTGTTTTTCGTGCACATTTAGCTACATTGTGCAAAGACAATTACAGCTCTAGCTGTTCTAGGTCCACTTTTACCAAATAAGCAAAAGAAAGTGGTCAAAATCTGTGCTTCGAGAAAAATGATATTAAAACTTTATTTCGTCGTTGAGTGAAAAATATCATGGCCAAAATACATTTAGTCAGTTAATATGCACTGGAAATGTAATAGGACTGATTGTTTGAAGGAGCGTGTCGTTTCTTCTAGTTCTGTGGCAAGTTGTCGCCGTGTGCTCGGCTGCCCCAAGGCCGCTTATCAGTTCGGTGACTGTAGTGATGGCGATGTGCGACGAATGTGCACGCATCATCCAGGATCTGTTGAATTGCACGGCGATCTTTTCGGGCTTGTTCAGAATGAGTTACCCGTAAATGTCACAAACCAAACTTGTTCCCTCGCTTATCAATTTTGAGGCTGCACGAGTGCCGAGGTGTTAAGTTTCCTTTTCACGAAAGACTGCCGCATTTTCGAGTGGAGACCATGACAATGTTGCGAACGCGTCATTAAAAGCAGTCTACTTGTTGCCAGTAGCCTCGATTGCGTGAGCGGCGAGCACGTTCACCGCAAACAGATTGACTTTCTGTTGTTCGAAGACGCGCAATGACTACACTCTGACGACCCGTCGCGCAGTTCAAGGTCCTTTTGACAGGGGGGGAAACCGCGGAACCAGCGCGTTTAGCGATAAGACTGTGCTTCTGTTCCGTCACTACAAAGATTGATCTCTCTTGTAGCTTCACCTCTGCTTTTTACTAGCCGTCCTCTAACTGATAAGGCTGCAAAACAAAGCCGCTCTCAGTAACGTTGTCGGCAAACAACAGGCTCGTAAGCGAGTTAGACCTACACCGGTGACTCGGCGAACGCCGTTGACCGCGGCGAGTTCATTATCCTTGTTGCCCTGAGCCATGGCGGGGCTTTTTCTGAAGTTCACAGCAAATGAACGATCGCCACACACGCTTCACAAATTACTGTAGCACGAAACTTCTTTACTGCCACAGGCAGACAGTACATGACGAAATGGCGCATGTCCGTGCGCGTCACCATCGTGACGCAGACGCCGGAAACGCCACTTGGCCAGTCGAATGCCTAGGTGTTGTCATGTGCCCCAAGCAGCGAATAGAATCGCGCGATAGTGCTTCTTGATGACGCTTTTTTGTTGAAAAACCAATGAGCAAAGCGAGCCAGCGGTGGTGAGAAACTGAAGATAAAGAACTACCCTTCCAAACGAGACCAAGATGAACCTGATAGCTCGTGTGTAACGGCAACAGTTCGGCGCTGAAAAAGCACGATTTTAGCGTCAATTTGCACTCGCATTCATCTCACACGGATGTTATAAATTGATTTTGAACCAGAAATAATGATGCGAGAAGCTAGAAACTTCTCAGATAGGTGCAAAAATAGGTACAGATTCCAAAATTGTCAACTTCAAAAAGTTGATTTATTTTTGTGATTTTTGGCCTTCTAACACTCGTGTGCCACCCCCCCCCCCTAACGAGAGTCTATTGTATTGTGATACCGTATTTACACGATTGTAAGACGACCCTTTTTTTCAAATTTGACAATCCAATGTTGGGGGGTCGTCTTAGAATCGAAATCGAACCATGTACCTTAGAATCGAAATCGAACCATGTATTGTCATCTCGAATAGTTTCCCGCTCAACCCAAAGCGCATAGTTTTCCGCGTGCTTATACAAACGCTTTTATTTTTTTAGCATCAACTGCGCGCATTACGAGTGCCTTTATGACGAGCGCACGGCTCTTGAGGGAGCACCGGTAATCGATGGAAGAGCCGCCGTAGGGGGGTATTGGTAGTTGACGGAAGAGCTCCTCTTTGTGATACAATTTTCTAAGCGGGCGCGTCGCCGCGTGCTCCTATCACTTGTGTCCACGACCGGCTCTCTCGAGTCACTTCTGTCTGACATGAGTGCCGTAGGCTCGAAGAACACTCGGCGCTCGTTTACGGCAGCGTTTAAGCGGGCTGCTATTCTTCATGCGGAGGAAACCAACAACTGTGCAGCAGGACGGAAGTTCGGAATCGGTGAATGTGTGGTGCGGAAGTGGCGGCTTCAGCGCGAGGAAATTTTCTCGTGCGACTCCAAGCGCCGTGGCTTTCGCAGGCCGAAGTGTGGCCGCTTTTCGGAACTAGAGGCGAAGCTTGCGGCCTACTCACACTTGACGACGACGTGCTGTGGGACTGCAGCAGCAATGACGGCAGCAGCACCAGCGAGGACGACTCCAGCGACGATGAATAATCCTCCGCAACCACGTGAATAAATTTCCCTTGTGTAAAATGTGCACGTTCTTTTTTCTTTTTTTTTTTTTTTTGAGATGCGATTTTGAGGGGGTCGTCTTACAATCGTGTAAATACGGTAAGTCAAATTGCTTTGTAACTCTGTTTAAAAAAAATCTTGCTCCTCAGAAGGCTCATGAAATACATTTTAGTTTAAAAACTACATTTCACACAAAAAATATAACTGCATATTTAAAATCAGCACACATATATACACAAGATCACCAAGTTTCATCCAAATATAATAAAGTAAGGAACTTTTCGTAAGAGCAGTGTCTCCTCTTAATAATGTGCACCAGTATGACCGCTGATGCCTGAAAACATTAAAAATAAAGGTCATATGTTGCCTCAAGTCATACTTATGAGACCCGATATTTTAAAAATCCTGTGGTGCCCTTGAGCTTGAATTATGAAGAACCTCCTAGGCAAATTAATGCCAACAAAAATATAGCAACACTGTTCAAAAGCAAAGACAGCATACTGCTTGGGCAAGAGAGAAGACAAAGAAAGTACAAGCGTGCATGCAGCGGCATGCTGTGACACCACCACTCCCAGAAGCACACATGCACAGAGTTTCCAAGATGCATTACGTTTATTTTGGCACACATTTAAACACTGTGGTATAGATGCACACAAACAGAAAAGAGCATTACGCTATAAAGACTGTGCACGCACTGTTTATACTCGCGTAATGAACACACTTTTTTCCCCCGAAAAATTGAAGCAAGGTTAGGGGGTGCGTTTACTATGCGGGCCAAATTCTACGAAAACTTTGTCTGGATGAGCAAAATATGCGGTAAAGCAAAAAGTTAGATAGCCTAAGGTTTCTAAATTAACATATGCATACGCCGTTCAGAAACAGCTCCTTCATAGCACTTGACTCACCTTCAGTAGTTCATGGCGCTCGCTCTCTTCTACAGGCTGCCCATGCGCATTCTATAAATGTGTTTCGCAGCTTCTTAATCTTTCATGATTTTTTTTTTAACCACAACAGTTGCATATGCTGTGATCTCAAGGGACACCTGGAAACTTATGTCGCGTACGCTTTGAAGCACTTGGCAAACTCGCACGATGACGTTGGCATTGCTACCACCCAAGCAAAGCACCAAAACAAACCGTCAATAACAAGACTAATGTCAAAATACGGCTAACTGCCACGCTCTCCACGTGAGACGCGATTGCAAAAAAAAAGGGGGGGGGGGGGCTATATCTAGTGTTCTTGATGTATGTGCGGATAACAAGCATGAAAAACAAATGGCTACCGAAGCGAGGATCGGGGTTGCTGCCATGTTAGGGAAATCGCCACGCTCTTTTTTTGGGCGACAATCGATTTTTTTTGTTTTTCCAGAAACTCGTGACAAACCTACGTGCGACAGCAACGGATGGCCTTTGGGACAGCAGATCTTGTCGCCATCACTCGGAAATCGCGTGCATGTGGTTGGGCCTTGAGTTTCGTATTTGCAAGTGACCATTGGTTGGCGCAGGTAGTTTGGCGATTTTGACATGCTGTGAGCTGCGATGCTGACATGCTGTGAGCTGTCTCTACACTCGCACCATTCATCCACCACGCTGTGGCACACGGCTAATTAAAAAAAGACGGGACGTGCCATGCACCAATAGAAACCAATACAAAGAACTGCGCCTGGCAGCCGGCCAGGGAGGGGGTAGTTCAGCACCACAAGAAAAAAGGAGAACATCAACAGGCAAGGAGGTGCCAAGTGTCGATTTGCGAACCACTGGGGGCTGGGGTGCATTTATTACGAGAGTGCGTTCATTACGTGAGTAAATACGGTACAAGCAGCACTGCTATTAGGGAGGACCTTGCCACAAAGAAAACAATTTCAAAATTTTCTGGTATGAGAGCAATAGTATGAATTTGATGACGCTGTGTGCACACATTCATAAAAATGCCTAAAATATATAAGCTGACTTGTACAATATTGCGGCCTGTAAGGTACATGAGTATTATAAAAACGGGCCAAAAACAGTCCAAGATGCTCAATGGTGGTCGAACATGCGATGGTGCTAGCGTGGCAAGCAGTGTGGAATCGCTTAGTAGAATCGGGAAGGAAGACGGGGGGGAGGTGCAGGTCGAAGTTGTGCTTGTCCTCTGGGGGGTAAAGGGGTGTAACAGCATACCTGTGCATGCCACCAGAGCTAAGCGATGGCGGGGAGTGCCAGGGGCGCGTTGGCTCATCCGCGAAGGCGTGCGGGGGCAGCTGTGGGCTAGCCTCCCAAGGTCCACGCTTAGGGCCTCTGCCTCCTCGGGCAAAGGCATCCACGGGCTCATCACGCCAAAAGGACATACTGCCACCACTTCTGCTGCTGCTGCTGCCGGTTGCCACAAAAGTGTTGGAAGGAGCAAAAAAAAAAAAAAAAAAAAAAAGAAGAAGAAGAAGAGGGCGGGGTGCATAAGAGAGAGAGAGTGAAACAACAGTAACGCACATTCATCTCAACTATTGACACACTTGGAAATGGACACTTGAAGAGGGATACTACATCTACTGTTAAAAAAACCTCAAGCAAAATTTTCCATCATGCTATTGGCACACTTGGAAAGGGACACTTGAAGAGGGATACTACATCTATTGTTAAAAAAAAAAACCCTCAAGCAAAATTTTCCTTCATGTACAATATTTTCCCATTTAAGGAGAGATGCGAGTCGAAAATCGCGTTTTTAGCGAAATTTCTTGTATTTCTGATTTTTTATTGCATTGTAATCTTCAAACCTTCTTCTTTCATCTGTGAAAATTTCAAAACTAAATTCGAACCGCAAAATGCAAAAAAATGTGTATGAAGGCATCGCGGTGGCTCAAAATTTCGTGAATTTGCGCCGATATTGGCCATCTTTGCGCGCTGCTCCCCGTCGCAGTGCCGCCCGCCATCGCGATTGGTTGGGAAAGTTGCGTCCGGCGTAGGGAAAAAAAAAAAAAAAAACGAGGACTTTTTATCACGTGGTTTGAGCGGTTTGAAACGCGCAGCACCCTAAGCCGCATCGCCATTGGCTACCGAGTCATTGTCAGCTGTGTTGGTGGCGGCCATCGGCATTTGGTCCGTCTGCTTTTCTGCGCGTCTACGCATATTTCCGCGATGACAAGCCCGAAAAAGTGCAACGTGAGACCGCAGAAGTTTAGAACGAAGCACAAGTTCAAGAGAAGGCGGCGTAAAGCGCCCCGAACGACGGCGACGAATGAGAACGCGCCTACGTGTGCTAGGCCTGACAACGGCATCGACGAGTGCGCGAGCGACAGTGGCTGCGATGAAGGGATTGACGCTGCGCTTTCTTTCGTCAGTGCTTCGGAAAAGAAACTCTGCTTCTTCGAAAAAGACGAAAGACAGCGCGATGAGGTTTGTGCAACGACAGTTTTGTGTGACACCCTCTTGCTGACGGCACTTGTGGCAGGTACGGCATGCCCTGCTTGCGGTATTCAAAAACTTGCCGTTCGGGAGCCGGCAGAAAAGCGCAAGGGACTTTCGTCGCTCCTCGAACTTCATTGCGAAAACAGCGAATGCTCAGCGACTGTTCTTTCGTGCTCCTATACGTCACTGCGTGTTACGGCGGACGGCAGTAGCCGAGTGAGCCAACGGTACGACAGTGGGAGCTCCCGAGATAGTTTCGCTGTAAATGTGAAGGCGGTGGTGGCTGCACGCGCTGTCGGCATTGGGCATGAGCAATTGTCGAGATTTTGCTCCATTATTGGACTCCCAAAGCCAATGCACCACCGAGGATTTTTTTCTATAGCAAAGAAGGTGCACACCGCTGCCATGGCAGCTGTGAGTGAAAACTTGCGCCGATCCAGAGAGTTGACGAAAGAAGTAGCAGGCGAAACTGATGTGGCTGTTATGTTCGACGGCACTTGGCAGAAGAGGGGCCACAAAAGCCACAACGGGATTGGCGCAGTTATCTCCTTAGATACTGGCCTCTGCTTAGACTTCGAGGTCATATCAAATTACTGCCTGACATGCAGTAGGCACAAGGATATGGGCCCAGACGAGGAAGTGTGGCAGGCATTCCATGGCCCAATCTGTGAAAAAAATGCAGACTGTTCCTCCCATGCCATGGAAACGGAGGCTGCAATGCGCATTTAGCAGAGAACATTGACTTATGACACCCCACTGCATTTCATGACATTCTTGAGTGACTGTGCCAGCAAAGCACATAGTGCAGTTGCAGAGTCAAAAGTCTATGGTGCTGTCAATATAGAAAAAGAAGACTGCACTAATCATGTGGCCAAGAGACTTGGCACCGCGCAACGAAAGCTGCATTTGCCATTACCAAGAGGGCAGAAAATGAAAGAGCCAGCCATTCAGAAGCTCCAAACATACTATCAGATTGCCATAACAAGCAACAGGGGGAGTGTACGGGATATGTACACTGCAGTATGGGCTTCGTACTTCCACTCATGCTCTACTGACAATGCTGGCAGCCACAAGTTTTGCCCTGCAGGAACAGAGTCGTGGTGCAAACATCAACGCGCTGAAGCACTTGGTGAACCTGCACCACGCCACACACCTCCTGACAAAAGCACAGGGATTGGCTGTTTTGCCCATTTATAAGCGGCCAACGGATGAGAAGCTCCTTGCTCGATGCATCAAAGGGAAAACCCAGAACGCATCGGAATCCCTGAACAGCAAAATTTGGCTACTTTGCCCCAAGACTAAGTTTGTCTCCCGAACGGTTGTCGAGACTGCCGCAGCTATGGCAATCCTGTGGTTTAACAAGGGTCATGCTACTTTCGAGCACATCCTGGAAGAGCTCAACATACTGCCATCTAGAGATCTAGTTACTTTCAGTGATTCCCGCGATGCGAGGCGCATCAAGAGAATGTCTGAGCGTCTGACAGCAGAAGCAAGGGCCCACCGTCGTCGTGGAGTGAAAAGGGCACGGCTAGAAGAGTGTGCTCGCAAGGACCGTGAGGGCACAACCTATGCTGCAGGACAGTTCTAGTAACTTGCAGTGCTTTTCAAAGTTCTGCTGAACATTATGGCCAAAGATTATGCATTTCTAACAACTCTGTGATAAAAAAAAAAGGTTTCAAACATTCAAATGCGTTTTTCTTCTTTTGCAGTTTTGTGTGATCTGTGCTTCTTATACACGCTAGTTCGTATACTTAAAATTGTCATACCTCTATGAAATTTTGCACATAGCATGATGAAGGGCCATAGAGTGCAAGTATCTATTCAGATTGTCAGTGCTGCTTGATTATGTTTTTCAAAAATTACATAGCATTGAAAGCCCTTGGCAACTAGAGCCATAATAAATTTTTCTATTTTATTATTGTATTTCACCTTTTTACACACAAAATTTATATAGTTTTTACACTCTACAGTTCCAAAGGATCATAGTCAGCTATATCTGCATGCTTTATCTCAAATTTTTATAGGTCAGAATTGTTGCATAACAATGGCCATAATTTTGCAGTATCTGACCTGCAGAAAGAAAACCAAGCAACCTACATGAAAATAAGTGACATATTTGAAAAGAGGAGAAAGAACTATTAGCATGCCAATTTGTGTTAAATTCAGACTCTTATTAAAGAAAATCGTTTTTCGAGTAGCATCTCCCCTTAAATCTCCAAAGTGGGCAGGCAGTTTTACAATCAAAACGTAAGCATAGCACTGCCACCAAGGGGACACAAATGAGATATTACAGACACCACAGCATGGTGACATTTTAAGCCCGTTTTTTTTTTCTTTTTTTCTGCAGACTTTGCATATGACACACAAATGGGCGTCAATGCTTTATGAAAAGACCACAGTCCTAAATTCCGTGGAACTGAATCCCAGGGTGGCGTCGCCCTGCTTTTGAGAAGCACCGACAACTCACTGATGAGTCGATACAAACAGAAAAGTTATCTGCTGACCAGATTTTGCCATTCGGCTAGTAACACTCATACGGTTAAACCTGCTTATAACGAACTTTTATATACCGAATTCCTCGGTATAACGAGGTTCTCCAATTCCCCGCCGTTACTCATAAAAGCACATGTATTTGAGACCCCTATTTAACAAATTAACCGCAGGACAACCCCTTGATACATATGACGAAATTTCGCCACGGACATTCTAGAAATTTTGCCCTGGATTTAGTCATTTTTTGCAGAGCATCTTCCCCGGTTGGCCAGCCTCCAATGAAGCGCGAAGCGGAGGTGATGTGCTTGTGGCCCCGGCGACTCCCAGGTGAGGGCAAGTACTTGTTATTGCCCCCCCCCAACTACTTCAGAGTTTCAGTGCCACGCTTTTAGTTAGCGTCACATATGTTGGGCTGCACTGCGTATGGAAAACGCTGTACCGAATAGTTTTCCACAACGTATCCACATCGTTTGCTCTTCATTTTTGATGCCATGTATGCATGCATGGTTTGCGCACATGGTTGCCCCTTCCCCCGATGACATTCAGCTTTGCTTTTTTTCTTTTTTGTTACTGCTGAGGAGATGTCAGATTAGGCGCTGATAAAGTGCTGAGACCATGGTGACAACGGCGAATTTTCGGACGTCGACTCGTCATGCGTTCCCGTCTTGCACCGCACCGAGAGTTCCCGAGACCATAGCCTTCGGGATTACTGTAATTACTCGAATCTAACGCGCACCTTTTTTCCGGTTAAGCGAGTTTATAAATCGCATGCGCATTAGAATCGAGTACGAAAAAAAAATTAATACGGTCATTCTATTGCCATCGGCATTTCCAAAATGGCCGCCCCCTACGTGCGTCGGCATGGCGCGTTGGCCATTTCTGCCTATGTGTTTCCCATGTGCGGCACTTCGTACTTGTGTTGAAGAGTTTGTCATCTTGTAGCACATTAGCATCGACGGAATAGAAGGGCTGACTCCAAAAACTCGACGAGTGCACCACGATGCCGCTTTTAAAAGAAAAGTTATCGCGTGTGCCGAAATGGACGGAAATCGGGCCGCATCGCGGTCGTTCGGAGTTCCCGAAACGTGCGCGCGGGACTGGCGGAAACAAAAGCAGAATATTGTCACCAGCAAAGATTCACACAAAGGCTTCAGTGGACCACAGCAGGGTCGCTTTCCGCAAATTGAAGTGCTGCTCGGCGAGTATGTGATTGAGCAGTGAGCGGCCCGTGATGACAGAACTGCTCCAAGTGCAGGCTATGCAGTTAGCCTTAAAAAAAGGGCTAATGCGGAGCCAGTTTAAAGTGAGCAGGAGCTCGTTAACTAACTTTATGAAGAGGAAAAGCTTTTCCCTCCGAAGGCGAACGGGCATATGCCAAAAGTTGCCGGAGGAGTACGAAGAAAAGCTTCACAGTTTTCAGAGGTTCGTCCTAAACAACAGCTACTTGCTTGGGCAAATCGGGAATGTCGATCAGGCACCTCTTTACTTCGACATGCCTGGCACCACAACCGCCGAGAAGAAGGCGAAGCAAGTTCCCGTGCTGACATCGGGCCACGGTAAAACTAGAGTGACGGCAATGCTCCGTTGCACGTCAGATAGGCACAAGCTTCCCCCGTACCTCACATTTAAACGGAAGACGCTCCCCAAAGGAGTCGTTTTCCCGAGTGGTGTGATCGTGCAGGCCAACGAGAAAAATGGGTGCGCGTTGCAATCGATGTCTTACTCTTTTTTTTTCGTCGTGGAAACCGGGTGGGCGTGACAATCGAGGGCGCGGTAGAATCGAGTAAATACGGTAGCTTGGGGCAACAACATGGCGACGCCTTGAATGTAGTGCAATGAATGTGATAGCAATATATTGTAATATTATACGAAGTATACAGCCAGCAGCCAACTCTAAATTTTAGACCCAATATCGCAGAAGTCCTACTAAATATTCTCTTTTCACACAGTTTCTTTACGTTGAAAGTACTGATGCTTGCTGTGATAGCGTGCGCTCCAGCGATCTCGATTGCACCCTTAAAATCGAAGTTCACCCCTGCCACTAAAGCGAACTGCCACTAAAGCACTAAACTAAAGTTCTGAACAGAAGAGAGGAGTAGGGGACAAGTGTAGTGTCTGAAATTGAATCATGTGTCCAGAGAAAACATTTTTAAATAAAAAAGAGTGGCTACATGGGCTGGTTGGTATTTAATTTTTGAAAGAAATTTACTTTCTTAGTGTGCAGGAAACGTTTCAGAACAAACTGTATGACACCCTATCTAGCTGCCCTATCTTCTTTCTGAAACGTTCCCTGCACACCAAGTAAATTTCTTTCAATAATTTTTAAATGGCACATCAAGACCACCACATACATATTTCGCAGTATGTGAAAACTCTAAATGCCAAAAATGGTTAGTTTGTTGGTTGGCTGTTTGGTTTATGAGGTTTAAGGGGGCACACTGGTCTTAGACATTTTTTGTTTATTTCTTCAGTGATCTTGATCAAACTGCACAGGGTTATGCAGTTTTTTCTGCTGATTTCAAATATTTAATTAGTTTTCCTATAACTCATCTTGTTCCTGAGATAACTTAAGTTCATCCCCTATTGTTTAAGGCCGCCATAGAAAAAAAAAGCGCTCAATTAAAAGTGATATTTAAGATATGCCAACATAGACTAAAGACTACAGAGTGAAAGTCTGCAAGTTTTTGTTTTTTTTTTGTTTTAGGCCTTTATTGGTTATTTTGCAGCAAAATGAACTATCCATTTCCAAAAGCAGTTGGAGTTGTATTACAATTGTGATGAGTAATTAATTAAAAAGGCTTGTGCTCAAAATTCTGCTCCCATACTTGCATTCTACACACATACAGGTTTCCATTGCAAAAGGAATTATTGTTGTACCAGCCCTAGCTGCAGAGATATTGAGGCCTCATAATTGAACTGGCGTAAATTTACGTTTTTGAGAAAAATGGAAAAAAAACTGAAAACACACAGCTTCTTGAAAAAGCAACAATCATGGTGTGTATGTGTTGCAATACTTATAAAGGTGCTCATAAATTCATAGCAGAGCTTTAGACACAGGCTTACACACCTTCCTGGTGTGTCAAAATTTGCTGGGAGATAGAAAAATACTTGCCGAAACCAAATATGTTAATTTTAAAAAATGATTTTTTTTTTTCACTTTTTGGTTCAAAACACCAGTCTGCCCTTTAATGTACCTAAGAGACACCACAGTAGAAAGCTCTAGATAACTTTGACCATCTGGGGTAATGGGTAGCAACACTGCACAGTACACAAGCCTCTAGCATTTTACATCAATTGAAATGAGACACCAACGTATTTCGGGTCAGTAACTGCAAACGCCAGATCCAATCTGCCAGATTACAGGACTTCTTTGCAAGAGCAGGTTCAAGACTTCAGATAAGTATAAATTACCCGCGAGTTGCAATCTGCCAGATTACAGGACTTCTTTGCAAGAGCAGGTTCAAGACTTCAGATAAGTATAAATTACCCGCGAGTTGGACCGACGGACATCCCAGAAAGTGATCCACCACCTCCAGAGGCTCCACCTGTGGCTCCCTCAGAAAAGCCACCATATTCCTGGGCAAACTCAGGGTCGAAGTTGTGGGGGTCATACGGCTTGTTCAGACCCTTGATAGGAGCCTACAAGTAGAACGGTGCACGCTTATGTTCAAATGGGGTTCAGTATGCCCCAATGACGTCAAAATTACAAACACTTTTTTGGCAATACAGTATAACTTCGTTACAACGAATTCGCTTACAACAGGCATATGGATACTATATACTAATTGGCGGCATTATGCCAATCTTCCTATTTGCTCCATTGACTGAACTTGGTTTACTACGAATCCTGGTACAACGAACATTCGGATATAGTTGACTAAAATGTGAGGCCAGCAACAGTCCCTTACAGGAAAATTTTTTTAGCGCAGCCATCCTAAATTCTACGGCTTCAGACAAAATTTTGCTACTTTCCAGAAACAGCGCCACAAATATCGACGTAGCAAATCAAAAACAAAGGCCGTCGATCTCTGGTCTGTTAATTATCAATTATTCCTAGCTACAGCAACAAAAAAATAGACGCACAGCGTGCTTGCTTCAACGTATTGAGGCACCGACGTGTGAAATTGCTGACCGCTGCCAACACTGTTCCGAGCTATAGGTGCATGGCGAGCTTGGCCTGGGTTCGCTACCGACACGCAAAATGCCTATTCGCAGTTTTAAGTAGCCAGCAGCCAATGTGATTCGTTGCTTGTGACAAGGCACATTACGGCTTCTTTGCTTTCGCATATCCCCTAGCACAGTGGTGTTGCCTGCCAAGTTTCAGGCGGAGTTAGGCCCAGGCACGAATTCAAGCAAAAAGCGCGACTTCGATGTGCATGGCCGTGGCATTCACGTGTTGCAAAGGTTCAATTCGCGGAGGTCCTCACCAAAAGGTTCGAAGCTCTGATAAGATGAAAATTCTCGCCAACGAATCAACACTATGAGTGGGTTCAAGACTCGAGTGTGCAATGTTCATGATGAGTGTGGCACGCGATCGTAATCCGATGACTGAACTTCCGCTTGCTGGTTTCTTAACTGAGGCGTAATTGTATTGTGAATTAAAGTCGGCCCGTGAACACAAAACGAGTACGAAAACAAAACTAGAGAGATTTTAGTCAGTCGTGACCTTGCAACGCAAAATACGCAGACGATGCTATCCTGGAGGCGTATCCTGAAATGAGCATTGAGCTAGCGAGTCGTACTGGAGCAACACTATAGAAGCAGCCAATTGGAGGCCTCGAAACTAATTTCAAACATCTGCTTTTTGGACATAGAACGCTCTTTACGAAATACGGTGGACTCCTCTTAAAGAATCTTGAAGGGGATCCATAAAACTGTTCCATTTATCAGAAGTTTCACTTAAGCAAAATACACTTATTCAGTGAACCAAGGCCTTTATTCAAATTGCAAAAACCTTACCTTACTCAAGAGGATGCGTAGGAGAAAAAAAGGAGTGAAGAGTAGTTTGTTTAGCTTGAGTTGTTTTTCACAATGTACACACCCATGCCTGACAAACTAGCGCTGCAAAAGTTAAACAGCCTCTTTACCTGATCGGTCTGGTGGCACCACTCCACTGACAGTATTGTCATCAGAATGATCGCTGTAAGGTTCATCCTCATCTTGCACTTCTGAAATCATTTCCTCGAAAGTCTCTTCACGACAGGTACGAACCTTTTCATCAATTGATTCAAAGTCCTGCAGCGTGAAAGGGGCAGAGGGCACGACCTGACTGAATATTGTCCCAATGTCAACATCAGCAGGCAGCGTGAAAGGGGCAGAGGGCACGACCTGACTGAATACTGTCTCAATGTCGACATCAGCAGGGCTTTCTTCTTCATGAGGTACTGCTTTCTTGCACTTGAAAGCCAGCATGGTGAAAGCATCTGTGTATTGTAGTTGCCTTCACCTGCTTCCAGGCACAAGCCAAAATGTGGATGTAGGTTTTCGCGCTCCCTGCTCTAAGCAGCATTTGATGGAGCAATTGTCTGCGGTAATGAACTTTAATGTTCTGAATAACCCCTTGATCCATCGGCTGGAGCACTGCCGTCGCATTGGCTGGCAAGAACTCCAGAGTGACAACTTCAAGTCCTTGAACCTGACCGTTCTTGCGTCTTCCCCCTGGATCCAGTTTTCGAAAATGGCCATGGTCACCCACGCTCTTCCGTTCCCATGGTACGCAACGGGAAGATGTTGAACGCCTTTGAAACAACGTGGGTGCCTTGCCTTGAGTTTCCTATCACCAACAGCTTATATTTCTCATCTCCTGCCATGTTTGCACCAACCAGGACAGTGATGCGATCTTTGCTGCGTTTTCTTCCGCTACAGGCTTCGCCTTTGAAGGTGAGAGTCTTCGATGGAAGCGCCTTATAAAAAAAGACCAATCTCGTCGACGGTAAATACGTCTCGTGGCTCAAAGCTCATCAAAATTTCCTTAAGCCGCCCCTGTTGCCAGTCGATGCAAATGTCCCTGTTGACTGCACCTTTCTCACCTGAGATTGCTTTGAAGACTAGGCCATGGCGTGTTTTGAAGCGGCTGAGCCATCCGTCGCTTAGGACAAAGTTCTTAACACCCATTTGCATGGCGATCTCTCGAGCTTTCTGCTTGAGAATTGGTCCCTTATGGGCGAATTATAACTCTATGCACGCTTGAACCACAAAAAAAAAAAAAAAAAGGAACTTTTCTAGTTGTTCCTAAGGCGGCGTTCGCATCCGTTTAGATGTAAAGGTCCCATTTTAACAGTGCCTTCAATCATTTCTCTGTCTTTCTACATCCGCGACAGCGTCGATTTCGGGATGTATTTTTTCGCTACCTCCATCTTCAGCAGGCCACTTCGATCGAGCTCCTAAAGAATTTGCAGCTTTTTTTTCAAGCGAGAGTGCATGGTGCGGCCCCTTCCTTTCCAACGGGCTAAAATAACACCGTGACCCACTACACTTAGCACCACAAATAGGCCCAACAAACAATTCACTCGCCGACTCGGCTCCCACAGCCACAAACGAGAATGCCTACTGAATTGGCTTGTCTTGATCTCGAGGTGTTGCCATGGTTGTGAGACTACCTTTGGCATGAGCGAGTTTATGCTGTGTTTAGAGTTTGTGCCATTTAACTGCAGGTGACCAATAAGCGCTATTTCGATTAACTGAAGAATTTTACTACATAACACACAGAAATCCAGCCATATGAGCCCGTTTAGTTCCGTTAATGAGGCATTTTCGTTTAAGCAAGTTTCGTTCTTGAGGAGTCCACTGTACTTTTACATTCCCCAAAATAATGGTGGGCAGTTGTACTGTTGCAAAGCTATAAATTGTTTTAAAACTCTTATTTATTTTTTTGAGCTTCCACAATGATTTTCGGAAAACCACGTCGGCAGGTGCAAAAAAACATGTTACAGCACTTGTACATAGTTTTCAGTGAAGACATTTTCAAATCAATCAAAAAAAGTGCCACAGAAAAACTGAAGATGGTATTTAAAAAAAAATCACAGCATATCCACGGAGTGAATGATAATGAGTGGGGTGAAGCGTCTGTCTGTCCATCAGTCTGTGTGTGTGTCCGTTCGTCTATGCGTCCGATCGCGTTCGAGAATGCAGATGGCGCGCGGCTAACACTGACGAGACAAGAGCCAAATAAGCCGAGTGCAAGCATCTTCAACACGCCCGCCACTCTGCTCCGCCCATGCCCCACTAACGATCCGCCACGTACGGCGACTATCCAGGAGACAGAGAGGCACTCGTTTGCGCACTCAGGCAAAACGCGCGCAGCAGCCAATCGAAGAGTAGCGGCAGAGTAACGCAATCTAGGAAATGAGGTGAGAAATGGTCATTTATTTCTTTTGCCTTCTTTTCTTTCTCGTCTGTTCTTATCTCGGTTACGCGTGACTAGTGACAAGGTTAGACTATTAGAAGTTTCATTTTTTTATGCCCTATTGAGAATAAATTTGTATGACTCCCAGTTGTCTCTTTATAACAGACCCATTAAGTGCTTCCATAAAAGTCTATTGTAACAGTACTTGGATTTTACATACTCCTTTAAAAACAGATTAAAATACTCCTCACGATGAAAAGTAGGTCTGTTATAATGAGGTTATACTGAATCGCTTTTTATCCCCCCACCCACTTAGTTGTGTTTGTATAACTGATTACAAAGACGATAAAATTGGCAATTTCTGCAACTATATAGCGAAATTAGTCTTTTTATACAAACATATGGTCACTTACAAATTTTGAGTTTTTTTTACATCTGGGCTTTATGTGGCAAAATCAAGACATAAATATGAAGATCGCTGGAGTGGAGGGCTCTAATGAGAGTAACCAGTTTTGCTGGCAGCATCTGTTTCTTTGAACAATCGTGATTGCTAGCTGCTAGCAAGGTTGATTGATTTGTGGGGTTTAACGTTCCAAAACCACCATACGATTATGAGAGACGCCGTAGTGGAGGGCTCCGAAAATTTTGACCACCTGGGGTTCTTTAACGTGCACCCAAATCTGAGTACACGGGCCTACAACATTTCTGCCTCCATCGGAAATGCAGCCCCCAAAGCTGGGATTTGAACCCGCGACCTGCGGGTCAGCAGCCGAGTACCTTAGCCACTACACCACCGTGGCGGGGCCTGCTAGCAAGGTAAGAGACAGGTAGTGGTTGGTTGGTACTACCACTTCTATGGCTGGCTACTTAGGCTTGTCACATGCCTCACAGTGGCAAAAACACCAAATTTTCACACCTTTACAACTGCATTGATGGTTTCCATTAAAATTTCTGAGAGAGATGGCACACAAAAATAATTGGAATGTTTTTTCTAATGCTGGCCAAGTGTTGTCGAGTTCATTGCAACACGAAAGTTATCGTTTAGCAAACTGTATTGTTTTTCTTACCTGTCCAACAATGTCACATATCTGCTTGATGCAATCCACCACCACTGAAGGTGAGCCAGTTACTTTGACGATGCGCTCAGTGGATCCTGGACAGCAGCTGCCATGAACTTTGATGTTGGCTCCTGTGGACTAGATTAAAAAAAAACAAAAAAAAAACCGATCACGCATATTTGCAGGAGCGCCAAGACAAGTCCAGAGGTTTCAAAAAACTTTCCAATAAGTTTTTTTTTTTGCACACAGGAAAGCCACTGCCGTAATGCTCAAGAGCAACCTTTTGCCACACAATGTTATTCATTTTGAGATGAGACTTACTCTTGCCGTTTCTTTGCACAATTGGCAAGGAGGAGACTAAGAAAACTGAGCTAGCTATAAATAAACATTCTAGTAGCATAAGGTTCCTTAATATCCCTTTTAGAAGAATTGCGATGAACGATTGCTTTAGTAGAGGTAGTACAGTATTTTTAACGAGAGACTGGACGCCAAGCCAAGTTTTAAGCAGGAAATACGAAATATTTTGTAGCCTGAATGCTCGCTGCCAGTGGGTAACCATCACGAGTAATTTGAGCATGTACAATTTTTTATTCAGTACTTATTTATGCTAAACCCATAATAATTTATTATAACACTCTCACTTTGATCAAATTAGATCTTCAAAATCTTGCCATCAACTGTGCGAATTTCACACCTTCATAGACAGGTGATCACAATGGTTACTGCATAGGAAAAAGAGTCAATATTTTTGTAAGAATGAATGGTCTGCTTTTGTTCTGTATTAGCATGCCTCCTTTTTATCCATACAATGAACAAGTAGACCAACCTCACGGAGTTCCTTGATGCGGCATCCTGCGCGACCAATAATACAGCCGGCATGGCTCTGATGCATGAGCAGGCGCATTTCACTTTCTGACCCTCCATTCTGGCCAGTGTGTTGAGCAAACTGCATCGAACGCTACATAAACAGAGACAAAATCAGCAACAACACTGGTTGGATTGGAAACGGGGCATCAACAAAAGTGTCACAGTGGAGTGTGTTCATTTAAATTAGCTGACGCCAGTTAATACTCGAGCCTTCTCGTACTACGGTCACGGACTATATAGTGTGTGGCCTCACTCTAAAAAATCAACGCAATGTAGAGTAAAAGGACAAGATGCAGAAAAGTGAAAAAGCAATTTGTATTTTGCATTCAGTTCACATATGGGAACTGCGATGCCTTTTCATAAAATATTATTTATGCTGAGTGGCACGTTGATCCAAGCAAAAAAAAATAAGAATTTTCCATTTCAATTGCGCAGCACTTCCGACTACAGCTGTGGCTTTAATTTGAAGGGCTGCTGACAAAGGCAATAGTAAACACTCTACATAGTTTTGCCAATACAAGGGTAAGTAACAGTCCCAATTATTTCCTGTACCATGAAACTTGATTCGCTTATAATAACAACGTAACATTTTGTCAGCGTGACTTCACTATGTTTGTTCTCATACTACCCACAAGATACTCCTGTCATGGTAATTATTTTGCGAGCAAGTCGATGAAAACACAGCTGCCTCTTTACACGAATCACCAGCACAGTGCAACATGCTGCAAGAATCACTGCACAAGTCGAACAGTACTTACGTCGTCCAACTTGGGAATGATGTTGAGCAGGATCTCCCCGAGAGTGTCCACGTCAGCCACAATGGAAAGGATCCTGAGGTCACAGGAAGGGCAGCACCCGAGGCAAGAGGGTACAAGACACACAAAGGGATGCAAGGACGAGGACACAGAGGCAAAGAAAAAGAAAACACCGGCCGCCACACAGGTGCTACAGGAAAACGGCCTGCCTGTCACCTGTCCACCTATTATAAATGAGATCACTCTACTTGTTCACTCCAAGAAAGCCTGCATAACCACCCCCCACCCCACTTCATTTTCCTTTCAAGAAAGGTAGCTACTCTCAAACCCCCCTTAATTATTAATGCTTATTTAATTCTTTTTCATAATGCACAGAGGGCCTCATTAATGCCTTAAGTCCTACTTTATTATTTACACTCAAGATTATTACAGTCAAGCTATCACCATCTACAAGCACTAACTTGAAAATGAGCCTATCACGTGAAGTTAAGTTAAAACGCTCTATCTGTTTGGTCAATAGGTTTACATCTCCTAGTTCATAGCTATGTCATTAGCGCAGAATCGTATATACAAAAAAAAGTTATCACCTTAGTGCCTCCTGCGTAATGCTCGAATTTAAATAGTGCATTAAAAATGCCCCACAGTACCGAGAACTATAAAACACTGCAAAAATTACAGGCCTGATGCACAACAGGAGCAGAGTCCCCATCCTCATCTGTTTTGTTAGTAAGCTTGGGGCACACATAAAGGATTGCAAGACACCTGAGTAGCAAGAAATGGTTAGTTTTTTTCAACGCTTCCCACTTCTGCAGATAGAAAAGCAGTGGCAAATTAAACATTCTGGGCTAAAAATATGTCTCAATTTCACTTTAAAGTACTCGTTAGGAATTAAGAATTACAGTAAGTACAAGTGCACCTTTGATCACTAGCAATGTGCTGCCAAGCTACACATAGTAATATGAATGCCAACAGGGGAGAGTGAGGGGGTAAACCCACCGTAATAGTAACAAAATTGATAGGATTATACGAGCAAATCTAGCAATGGACACGATGCTGTGCCTATCTTACAGGTATCCAATACTTGCGTATCTACCTATACTACACTGTGCTTTATGAAACAGTGTGCATTGGGAACATGAATAATAACCAAAACAATTTGTGCAGGCAGGGTGCTATATAAGCGATACATTCAACAAGTCCAAGATCATGTAACTCTGTTACTCAAATGGAGTGAACTTGTGTGCCTTCCAAGAGCAGTACAATACTTAATAACACAGTGCATGGATGGAAGGCACTGCAATATTGTTTAAAAAGAAAAGTGCTCTTTATCAAGCCTCAACAGAGGAGCTTGTTTGCCAAGCCGGCGGCCCGAGCTGGGGGCTCTGCCGGTGGGAGATAGCGGAAGAAGGGAAACGGATGAGTTCCTACCGTTCTGGGCCGGGGCAGTCTGGCACGGAAATGCTTGCTTTGTACTGCCCCCCGAGGGCAGGGGAGGACAGAGGACAGATCGGCACAGGGGCACGTTCGGCGTGTTTGATTTTCGGGGTCAGAGGGGCGCAACCGAGAAGAAGGGGTCCGCCATGGAGAAACGGGGAGGGAGAGAACACAACACGTTGCAGGGGAAACGGGGGACTCGGCACCTGCTCCCATCTTTTTTTTTTTTAATTCATTACATACACGCGCGCTACATCTCATCTCTTACCCACCTCCTTTGTCTCGCATCTCTCAAGACATGAGCTATGCAAAACTCCCTCCTTCAAACCGTTAAAACCACTTACACCACCAATGCTGCCACCACCACCATTTCCATAACCACAAGCACCACCACGCTTTCCTTTAGGTGCGCAGCAAACCGCCACACACGAGCACTACCCGCAAGCAGTTGCACCGTTTCCACGAGCCTTTGGCTCGTACGAAGTTAGAATGAAGCCAAATATCTCAAGCTGCGGAATGGTGCATACTACTTGCGAACAGCTGAGCTACCCCATCAGAGCTGTCAACTGGCTCAAACTCCGAGTCCACCCACTTGCTATTAAGCACTAGACTAGACTAAGTGGGCGTTTTAGCAGCAAGGAAACATTCTGCTGCTTTACAATGAACATGTGCAAAATCGCAGCAAGGCTCTCAGTATGATTCTGCAACGGATGGGCAAAGTACGATGTAACACAACAGCAAGTTGACAGTTCAGAGGGGCCAAACCTCACTCTGCACGTGTATGAACTCTGTTGCAATGCATGCAGATGATCCGTTGCACTGAGTATGCATGCAAGTCTAGGCAAAAAGGCTAGCCACTTCATTTATGCAATAGCCAACAACACCATTGTTACTGGCACAGAGCCCAAAGCTATAAACATATTCACTTGGGTAGTGTGCCCAAGCCTGTTCCTAAAAGGTGGTTAGAACATTAAGAGATGCCATATCGTGTGTGTTATTACTAACACAAGGTAGCGCACATAGAGCACCAAGAGCAAGTGCATAAAGAAAAAAAAAACAAATAACAACAGGCAGTGACAGCCTCGTAACTGTAGAAGCGTGCTGTTAAAGTACTAAGGAAAACTCCGGAGCAGCCTTCAAATTGATCAAACCTGCAAACCCATGCGGCTCTTCCCCCTGCACCTTAGGCTTTCATACTGACCAATTTTATATAATTTATAACATCAGTCGACTTGTGACAACTCAAACTAAAGTTGGGCAAATTGCAGAGCTGCGACTGCCAACACTAAATCTTTAACGAGCATTCTGCACTTTCAACAGATGCCTCTACATAAGCCGCGTGACACGGCTAAATCTAGCCATATTAAGGAGCACATATATCCGAAGATGCATGGTTATAAAATGGCCGTCTGTTCATTCTTAGTCATAACTATTGTATATGTCTAGGTACTTACCAGCTTCTGTGCCACGTAGTGCCTGATGGGTTTTCCATCGAATAAAAATCTTTCCCCCCCCCCCCCACCCGAATAGTGTGGCATTGATTGGGGGCTTATTTTCTTTGTATAATGACTAGAAATCTTGTTTGAGAGCTTGTACTCTACAAAATGCCCAATTAAAAGAAAAACCTGCATTCCAAAGAGTTTGAATCGGCACAAGCTGACTGTAATTGACTCAACAAAACAAGAACAATGAGCAATATAAGAAGAAATATGAAGAAAAAAATAAGTTCCACTTTAGTAATGCCAGCAACTTGAAATTATTGTTATCACATGACTGAGCTGAGCAACAAGGTGTGCGACAGTCTTTAGCTGCGCAGTGTGCAAACCAGAGCATAGAATTTTGCAAGTCTCAATAATTCTCATGGCTGTCGTGAGAATTTTTCAAGCATGCTTCCATACTTAACAATTATTAGCAACAACAAAATGTCATGCACATTGCAGAAATACATGCAAGCATGCAATGTCATCAATGGGCACACTACACACACAAAGCTCGACGGATCCAGTGAAAGAAGAACTACTCTTTGCTTTCGAGGCAACATGAGAGGTTACGAGTTTGCTGTACCTTGTGCAATGAACACAATTTAAGGGCCCTTAAGGTTACACTCTCCCTCTCATGTAAAGGTCCCTATACATGCTTTGCTCTCCATTTATTCTGAAAAACATTTTAGCGACAGGCAGAGAAAGCAAATGCTCAATTTCAATCGGTAGATTTCTCGCTGAAGCACTTGTACCCAATCGACAGAGTGTCGTTTCCATATAGCTTTATCGCTTAGCGTAAGAAGGTGGTTTTCAAAGCCCCCTCCTTACACATGTCCTATTGAAGTGAACAGTGTTCTTGATACTTGCTATATTGAACCCAATTCTACCAAAATGCAACACCATCTTTCTTTTACAATCCCACATTTGACAATTAAGCTGACGCATCTAAGATCCATAACATGACGGTGAAACACTGCTGGAACTAGAAGAAGGCAGCGCCACCTGTCTTTCATGGTGTTTTATCTGGCAGAGTTTCTCGTCGCTGCAACTTTCTGAGACAGCCCAACTTAATGCCATTTAGTGTTCTTAGAAAGTTTCGACATAGAGTACTTAGGCTTTGTGTGTGTGTGTGCGTGTGTGTGTGGGTGTGTGTGTGTAACTAGCAGTGCTTTTTGGATCAGCCTAAGTGAGAGTGCACAAGATGGAAGATTTGATTACAGGCATGTGTAATTGTTAAGCAGTTATTTTCTATTGCTGCGAATAATTTCAGAATTTTTAGAATAGGTAAGTACAAAGGCTGAGCATAGTGTGATGTTGAGCTAATTAGTAAGTAAGCACGAAAAACAGCTGCACAGTTAATTCACACTAGTGGGTGCACAACTGTGTTCCGTCGAGGATGGGTGGTGTGGTGCCCAAGTGGCCATGCAATACAGGCAGTCAAGATGCAGGTAAAGTGGAAAGCTAGCAAGAATGAAAGCAGGACTGCAATACAGAAGTATGCTCACCTCTTTCCTCAGGCTGTTGATGTTGGAACCACCTTTGCCAATGATGGCACCAGCATTCTGCCAAGAATATATAGACGGAAATGCTGTTAACTTTGGCCTAATTAAAGCGAATTCAGAAAGCACTTAGCTGAACAAGCACGTCGTAAAAGGTGAGAGTGGTGTGAAGGAAGAGAGGCAGATCGCTATTGCATTATGCTAAAGTGATAATTATAAAATGCCCAGTCAACTAACGACATTACAATGCACAAGTGGTATGACGTACATGATACATTGTGAATTCAATTGTTCTGCAGTAGTTTCGGCTAGATGTTGAAGGAATAAGTAAAATACTAAATTATGGCCAAGAGTCTAATGGAATTGCACAGAGTCTGGTTGGAGAAAAGCACAGTGAAAAAATAAAAGAAAATGTCGTCCAAGGTAAAAGGCAGCACTTTAAAATAGACTGTGCACAAGGCTCCCGAAACGTTTTTAAATATACACTAGACTCATGATAATTCAAGCTATGACAATTCATACTTTCGATTAATTCACACAAAATTAACAATACATGTCTTCTGCCATCCCCTAGCTTGCTGGAAAGTATATTACAGAGTGTTTACAGTGTTTTAACCATAGTGTCGAAGGAAATTTTTTTTGTTCAGTTTTGTTTCATTCCCCACAAAAAAGTTCCGTGCTGCTTTGTTTCAATTTTTTTTGGCTGGCCCTTTACTATTTCAATGTAAGCTCTTAATTCAAACTCTTATCATTCTGTTAATTCATACTTTCTGAGGTTACATACCAGAAAATATCTGCTGGTTTTTCCCTACTATTTAAAATTCACATGTTTATGTAATCCTAACAGTCTCAAAATGAAAAATAAGCACCTCAGGTTTTCAAGAAAAAAAAAGGGGCTTTGCTAGTAATGTTTGATATGAAGCAAATGCAGGGTAAACCACAATGTTTCTCAACTGGTATAGAAAGCTTTGAGCTGAAGGCACATGTAGCAAAGAAGCAGTTGACAATTCACGACCTTACATCTCTGCTTTCTCTTCATTGCATGCAGTTATAATTTAAAAATGCTTAAAGATTGTATTAATGTGATAAAACCAATGCCTAACCATATCACCCAGTCATATCTGAGAACATCTGATAATTCAAACAAAATCCAGAGATCCCTTCGAGTTTGAATTAACGAAAATTGACTGCATTGCATTTCTTTACCTAAGTCACCATATTCTTTTATTTCACTAAAATATGATGTGTAACATTTTTCAAGCCCACCATAAGGTGGAGAGCATCATGTGAACTTTTCCTGGGATTCCTTCACCATGAACCTCATTTCTCTACCATTAGAATGCTGCTACAGCAACTAGAAATCCAACCTCGAACACCATTTTTAGTAGCCGGATGTGCTCAGCAGCTACCACAGCAGTTACTGGCAACAAGTGCCATGTCTAAAAGCCTGTACAGATACTCAATCCAACACATCATAAATGTCGAACAGTAGTGTTGGGCTCCTTACTCTGCTCTGGAGCAGAAAGCGCACATCAACAGCACGGCCTCCCCCAGTGTTCCTTGGACGCTTGCTTGGAGCCTCACCATCAGCTCGCCCGTCATCAGTAGACTCCCGTTTGTTGCTTCCACTTCCTGCATTACACAATGCAAAGTGGCCGCTGCATTGCCAGACATCTGACTAATAAAACACACAGCCAAAATGGACACTAACAACTTCCTTACATAAGGACTGACACACTATTTTTTGCATATATGTAGCCACATGTCTAGGAGGAATGAACGGTTCTGGTACCAACCGCACTGACTGAGGTGTGCGGCCACGGGGGTGAAAGATGCAGAGTTTTTTATGCTGTATGTGCATATACGAAAGTCTCAGTACATGCATCTTTTCGCCTTTCAATCCCACTGAAATTCAGTCACAGTGGCCATATACACCATAGCAGTAGAAGATAAGCCAGATGCCTAACTCCATAGCAGTAATCTACTGGAGGGTTTCATAATGCTGTTCAACCCACTGTTGCCATAGCCACAGTGAAACTGAAGTTTTCTACACGTCTCAGCTGTCTTCATCCCAAGATGCCCCGTCAGGAGCAGCGTTCGGCAATGGCTACGAAACAAGGTGTCAGAGGCACGTGGCACAATGCTTATATTATTTTTATTTACATTTTAAAGCAAAGGTTGTTTCAGTAAATTGTGTATCCCGGTATGCTAAAATAAGCCTAGACTTCGTTGTTTTCAGCCTTCAAGTTTTATGCCTTATATTTAACGGGTTATAGAACCAACCAAGACACAAGCTCATATAAAGGAAACTTGCATGGTCTTATATACAGAAGAAGGATTTGAAGTAACACCTATGCTAGGCCAGAAAAAAAGACAAGGCTGTTAAATTGGTTGCGCACTGCACGTAAACCTGTAAAGAGATGACACCTTAAAAAAAAAAGTGCTAGGAAGGGTTCTCTTTTAAAGCCCGAACTGTACTTTTATTCATAGATTGAACAGACCGAACAATAGAACAATAAATGCAGCAAGAACGGCACCGATGAGGGCATGTACTAGGAAGTTGTTCATAAAAAAATTCTAATATACAAGAAAAAAGACTTCACTCAACCCATCAAGTGCCTCTATATCATTGAATACGTGACATAGAACAAGCATCACTGCCTTTGGCACATCTGGAAGGGCATGTGTAACGAAAGTTATAGCCCCATGTTTGCCCATTTTAATCGGAGTACTACACCCAAGGAAGGGGCGAAACAAGAACAGAGCATCGATGAGAGATATTCGCCTTCCAAAGGAACCCTGCAACATGGTAAAAAAAAAAAATGCTGTGGATCGATAGTCTAGGCTCCAATGAACATGTGAGTCGAGCATTATGGCACAGCACAACCGCATTCGATTTAAAAGTATGCAGCCATTGGGTTATTTGAGCATCTATTTAAAAGTATGCAGCCATTGGGTTATTTGAGCATTAGTATCATCATGGCCGCTGTGGGTTGCTATTCGCCTCTCAAGATAACCCTGCGACACTTTTTGAACATGGTGAGAAAAGGCTGTGGATTGATAGTCTAGGCTACCATGAGCGAAACATTATGGTAATGCACGCAGCATTTACACATATGGCTTGCAGCCATTAGTAGCTTCTTTAAACATTGCGAATTGCATGGTTATCACATCTGCTATGGGTTCCGCAATATGCTCATGCTGCCCTCTATAGTGCTAGAATTACACCTGTGCATTACACCTGTGCACTCATAACCACACTTCCAGGCTCCAAAACTACCAATATAGGGGTCCAACAAGGATCAATACTAGGTCCTCATCTATTTCTCATATACATAAATGACCTGACAGACTGTTTATCCCCTCACAAAGAATCCTTGCTTTACGCAGACGACACCACCATAGTTATTGCTCAGGACTCCATTCCTGCCCTAACCTCCCAGCTAAACGATCTTCAGAGCGTCATTAGTTTGTGCCTTAACAATCCCTATAAGACAAAATTTGTTATTTTCAGTTCTAGGTCAAAAACTCAAGATAACGCACTCCCGGTGTGTGTTAATAACTATGAACTATTTCCTTCTAAAAAATGCACATTTCTCGGTGTAGAACTTGATTGTTTTTTGAACTTCAACCATCATATTAAGTTTAATAAAAAGAAAAACCGCCTATGGTATTCGTGTTCTGCTCAGAGCCTGCCAATGTTTTGCTCTTCCTACACTATCTGCTCTCTATTTTGCCTTCCTTCATAGTCATTTTAACTACTGTATTGAATCTTGGGGACTCGCATATAAAACTTATGTAAGCCCATTAGCACATATTCAAAAACAGGCCCTCTGCATAATAACGCACAGTGATTATCATGCCCATTCAGCTCCACTATTTTCTTCACTACATATTCTTCCTATTGCAAATATGATCGTCTTTAGCTTAGCTGTAATTGCCTACTGCCTGGTACATAATCCGGATCTCTTATGTATTGTAGGCAATAAAATTACCACTTCCTCTAGCAATACACGTTTCTCCTTACAAAACAATATCTTATTGCCCTAGGCACACACTAATTACGGACTAAAAATGTTTAGCTTCTCCACCATCAAGGTATGGAACACTCTGCCTGTAGAGACTAAAACCTCTCCCTCATTAAATGCCTTTAAACATTCAGTTCGCCTTTATCTGAATCCTACTTTAAACTTCTGACTTATGTGTAGTTACTGTCGTTGCCTTTTTTTGTCATACATTTTCATGTTTTTTATCCATTTCTATTACTTCCTTTTTCTTCTGAAATATTAGTGTTTATTCCTAGTGATTGCTTTGTTTGTACTGTATTAGGTTCACTTTTTTAGTTTCCTTTTCTGTGTACTTCAATGCCAAATATTCTCTATGTTATTGCATACCATAATGCCTCTTATTGTTTTGTATGCATACTCGCGCTTTTTTACGCCATCCTGCTCCTGTTTTATTTTTTCTTTGTGTATTTTTATAACAAGAAGTCCCATTGCAGTGTTTACACTAAGGGACCTCTTTCTGTATACCTCTCCCCATATGTAACCCCCACCCAATTACGCTCAATAAATTGAAACTGAAATGGGGAGCAATATGAGCAATTAATGCTTCTGAACCAGAAAAGCTTAGCGGCAGAAAAAGTGCGTCCAAAAAGGCATATTTTACACATTGTGATGATACTAATAACTATGTAACTTACTTTAAACTTATTATATATCTCAAATCAGTATAAAGCCCTAATGTATAAAGCAAAATGTCACTTTCCTAGGCTACAGAATAAGGAAACATTTTTTAATGTAACATCTGATAATGCTATAAAATGCAGCTACCCTTTTCATCAGCATCTAGTAATAAACATTTGGTTGGTGTGTGGTGTAAACTCTAAAAAAAACTAAACTTAACTATACTAGCTTTTAAACACCTCAAGGCAGCTTACACCCACAAGAATGACCACAATGCCTGGCTGTGAACACGGTTCAAAATCCCACTGTCTTAGTGCTCAAAAGAGGAGTGCCAGTGTTTTGGCATAGCAGATTGGACAACAAAATCCTAGACAGCTCAACAGTGGCCTTGCACAAGAAACCAATTTATATTTAAGTTATGCCTGAATGTTATGCAAATTCTAAGAAAGTATTTTCTCAAGTTTAGTCTTTCAACTCTGAAAACTTCAGGGAGTAGGAGAACATGGTTCATTTGCATTAGGAGGCATAAGTGGTATATGCTTTGTAAAGCTAATTTCACAAGACTTAACTTCATAGCTTTGCCAACTTATACATTAAGCCAAATAAACTCAATGAGATGCCGACGGTAGTATTCCTGATACACTATACTGCACTACTTAAAGATGAACAATTCGTAAAGTATGCCTTAAAAACCCAAATTTTTCTTTAAGACCTTTACTGTGGCTAATTTGCAGAGATCACACAGCAAGCACATGTGGTAAAACCTATATGATCACCAAAGTTTTCAATGCCACAAATAAACCAATTATGTAGACGCAGGGGTCTATTAGCAAAGGTAGCAAAGAAGTTGGTTCAAAAAGACCTGTTGCTAGGCAAGCAGTCCAGGCCGTTTACAAGTGGGAATGATGTCATCTTGGCCAGCTCACTGACGACAAGAACTTAATAATAAGGTCACAAGGGTAGTGAGTTTTTGTAGAACATCACAAGCCAAGAGCAGTAGTTATCACCTGAAGCGTGCTAGCATGAGGAGTGAACATGGCAAATTAAACCCTGACCAGGAGATCCCAGCACTCACCGTCCGTGTGATCCATGGCTTGTGGTCACTTTGCTGCTGCTTCCGCAGGTCGGGTGAAGAATCAACGGCGATGACCCCTGCACACACGCACCCACCAGGGGGGCTCAGTCCAGTAACTGCCCGAGAAAGCGAACACGCGTAACTTAGGCACACGCAAGAGAAATGTAGGGTATCCGAAATAAAAAGGGAGGGTCCGCGAAGGGGGGACCTGAGAGCGCGCGGGGAGGGGCGGCCGACCCGCGCGCCAGAGACCACCTGTTGTGCCCCCCGCGGCCGCCGCGTCGAAAAAAGCCGAGAGCCGTTGCCGCGGGCGACGGCGGCCAAAACAAAAAGGGCACCCCACGCGTTGCCCAGGGATGGCCGCTCAATAAGCAACAGTGCCACAATCGATGTTGGGGGGGGGGGCACAGCCTCCCGCCTCTAACCGCGCTTGGGACGCCCTAGCGGCGCCGGCAACGAGGGAGGGGTGGGATAAGATGACGTCCTGGTACGAAGTACCACCGATGTGCCGCTAGCAGGAGCGAAACCACACACTGCCTGACAGATACCGCTGCCACGGGAACGGTACCGCGGCCCCAGCGCAGCCAATAAGCGACCCAGGGTGGTACCACGCGCGCGGCCAATAACGGTACAGGACCGTACTGTGCCTGGTAGATGGCGCACGGTAAGGCAACGGAGAGACTATCAAAGTATTCGACTAACAAATAACAAAGAAAAATGAGAAACACGCGCTTGCTACAGCTGTTAGATAGAAGTAGACCTCGTAACAAATAGGAAAGGCGCGACTGTTATGACGACCAGCGAGAGTGGTTTGAAAAAAAAAAAAAAGGAAAGAAAAACTCGAGTTGCTACGCCGGATCGGTCGCCTTCGTTCGCTCACGCAACATCACACGCACCATAGCCCTTGTCTCGAGTTATAAACGAAGACGCGCCTGGCGTACCGCGCAATGGAAGAACACACACACACACCGATCCAAGTAATTTTTTATTCCGCGTCGCATCGAGCCGAGCATGGACCACGCGACGGAACACGCACACACCGAGCTAAGTCATTTCGCGACGTATCGAGCGGAGGCACAAGCTTCCCGCATAGTTTTGTTTTTTTTTCGCCGCGCCAAACCCGCAAGAATATCGAGTCGAAAATCGCAGTGGTGCCGAATACACAACCTAGAGCGACGCCCGAGTGAGCGCCGGCGGCAGGCGCACGCACGATCTCGTCACGATCACAAACTGGCGTGACAGCGGCCCGCCACGCGCGCACTATACACAACAAACGCATTTGCTGCCGGCAAAGGGGGCTTCACTCGTTGCAAAGGGCCCCGCGCAGTGAAAGGATTTACTCGCAGTTGGGCAAAACCGGATTGATCTTTCCATGACGAGTTCCATGGCGACACCGACGAATACACTGCAGAACGGTGGCAAAGATGTGCAGAGACGAAAGAAATCAATCCCTAGCTGTCGGGGGACAAAAAATCGAGAGAATACAAAAACAAAAAAGATGCTTCCCCTCGTTTGTCGTTAACTGCGCTTATAGCCTATGCCGCGCCACATACACGGGTCGCAAAACCACGGGCATGGAACGTAAGCATATACTGCTCACGTTAATTATAGTATAGAAATAAACCGGAAAACCGAATTGACGCTGCAACGTGTTAAGGTTGACCATACGGCTTTATTTCACCGCCACTTTACCACAAGGGAAAGGAACGAGACGTTAGAAGCAGGAACGTAAAAGTCAAGGTCCCTTGAAGCACACACCAGTGATTGGGAACGACAAGGTTCCGTTTCACTCGCTCCATGCGCAAGTGAAAGTTTCGACACGCGTGAATGAAATAGGGCTGCGTTAAGGCCTGACCACACGTACCTGTCGCAGCGCGCCAGTGCGTGACGCGGCGCACACCCTCTCTCGGGAGAGGGCGCGCCGATACGCGAGGGCGCGGCACTGCGTAAAAAAGCAACGCGCCGACGGGCTGCAACGGGTACGTGTGGTCAGGCCTTTACGCAGTGCACACGCCCCCACTTAACCACTGCTGAGCGCGCATTTATGACCTGGTCTATTGTACAACTGCTTATACATATGCTGTTTCTTTTCCTTTCGGGGGCTATGACATACAACTCAACAGGCAATACTGAGCGCTATCAACACTCTTAATCATGTTTGTTGTATGTGTAGGCCTTACCTTAATCGTAGAGGCATTGTTGTCATGACAATAGCGAAGCAATAGTGGCGGCCGTTAGAGGATTCTTTACATTGGTATAGCAAATGTGCCGCACTGAAGTCAGCTACCCGTTCCACAGACGTACACCCTCGTTATGAGTTACAATTTCAAACATTAAAAGAGAAGCTCGTACTAGTGTTACGCACGTGCTGTCCCCTACGCCGAGTTCACCGATAGCCGGCTAACCGTTACTGGCTCCCTGCTGGGAATAAGCATGTTAAACTGGTGGAACAGCTTCGAGAACCCCGATTTCGTCCCTCTTTACGCTGTTCCCCAACATCGACGAAAATAACGTTAGTATCCACAACCACTTGAAGTAAAAAAAAAAGTCACAGCTTTGCCGCAAATGCGAAACAATGAACGAACCTGATAGCAACAAATTGAAAGGTCACGCGCAGAATGGCAAGCACATCATAACGTGCCCCACGTTTCTCAAACACAAATGACGCACAGAACGTACTCACAGGTATAGATGCACGCGAACAAGCGTCTTGGTTGTTACTTTGCTGTGTCTGAAAAGCGCACCATTTTCGCAAACGAAGGCTGTGCAACAATTGCAGCGACCTTTGTGCGCGCCGTAACTACAACAGAATCGTTCCAGTGCAAGCCCAACGCCAGCCAAGACGTATGATGCTCCCCACCGGGAGACAGGGGCGCAAGATATCGTCCATTTCCCTCCTTTCCGCAGTCCAAAGTACGCGTAAGGGAAGCCGCCGCGCGCTCCATGCGCCATCTTGCTGATAATGCCGAAAACACGATAGTCTCCCCCCCCCCCCGAGATGCCTGCCAACAGCGGTAAGTCGTAGATATTGTTACGAGGTTGGTTGCTTCTGAGCGAGATGTATTTGCAGAGTAAAAACTACAGGCAAGAGACACAATGGCTGATTGGCCCAGTCGCGCGCCTGTCAGTCGCACCTCTTCCTTTTCTTCCTCTCCGTAGCAAGACCCCCGGGCGTTGGAGCGCCGTCTCGGCGAGAGTCCGGAGAAGTGCGACAGAAGTAGGGTTTCAAGCGCGAAACATGGACAATGTCAACTAGTGACGAACTTGGTGACGTATTGGAGTGCAATGGCGCTATCTCGTAGGTTACGTCGCTAACTTGACGTAAGACTAGGTAGGGTCCGGCGTATCGGGACAAAAGTTTTTCGGAGAGACCTACACGGCGACACGGTGACCAGAGGAGCACGTGGTCACCTGGGGCAAACGTTATATTTCGATGCCGGTGGTCGTAGCGGGCTTTTTGCATATCCTGTGACCTGGTGAGGCGAGACTGGGCAACTTGACGAGCCATGTGAGCCCGATCAATGGCTTCGCGCGCGTACTCGGAAGGAGATGGCACGAGAGGCAAGGTGGTTTCAAATGGCAATATGGGGTCGCGACCATATAAAAGATAAAAAGGCGAGAATCCCGCAGTGTCATGTCGAGAGGAGTTATATGCGAAGGTCACATAGGCCAACGTTGTATCCCAGTCTCGATGATCATCGGAGACGTACATCGAAAGCATCTCTGTGAGCGTGCGATTGAGACGTTCAGTTAGGCCATTAGTTTGTGGGTGGTAGGCGGTAGATAGCTTATGGGCTGTAGCACACGATCGAAGGAGGTCATCGACAACTTTGGACAGGAAAGAGCGGCCGCGGTCCGTAAGCAGCTGTCGGGGTGCACCATGGTGTAAGATGACGTCATGAAGAAGAAAATCCGCGACGTCAGTGGCGCAACTGGTTGGCATGGCCTTTGTTATCGCGTAACGGGTCGCATAATCTGTGGCGACGGCAATCCATTTATTTCCTAGTGTCGTCGTCGGAAAAGGGCCAAGAAGGTCGAGTCCCACGCGATGAAATGGTTCAGAGGGGACTTCAATTGGGTGAAGATATCCAGCTGGCAGCAAAGAAGGTCTTTTCCGGCGCTGGCAGAGGTCGCAAGTGGCGACATATCGACGTACGCTGCGGTACAATCCAGGCCAGAAAAATCGACGTCGCACGCGGTCGTATGTGCGGGAAACGCCGAGGTGTCCCGCTGTTGGTGCGTCGTGAAGTTGTTGAAGTATGGCAGGCCGTAGATGACGAGGGATGACAAGCAGAAGCTCAGGGCCTTCAGTGGTGACGTTGCGGCGGTAGAGGATGCCGTCATGCAGCACGAACATACGGGATTCAGCGTCATGGCTGTCAGACTGGATGGCGTCGATGATAGTGCGCAATGACTCATCCCGTCGTTGTTCGATGCGCATATCGCTGACGTCTGTAAACGCCATTACTCTGCTCTCCAGGTCAGGCGCAACGGGATCAGGAGGATCTACCGGATATCGAGAAAGACAGTCTGCGTCCTTGTGCAAACGGCCAGACTTGTAGCTGACGCTAAACGAAAATTCCTGAAGCCTCAGAGCCCAGCGAGCCAGACGTCCAGTCGGATCCTTCAGAGAAGTCAGCCAACAGAGGGCGTGGTGGTCCGTAACGACAGTGAAAATGCGACCATATAAATATGGCCGAAACTTGGCGACGGCCCAAACTAAAGCTAGACACTCTCTCTCGGTGATGGAATAATTCATCTCCTGGGGAGAAAGCAGGCGACTGGCGTAAGCTATCACGCACTGTCTACCGTGGTGCCGCTGAGCGAGAACTGCGCCGATACCGTGGCCACTGGCGTCGGTGCGAACCTCTGTGGCAGCAGAAGGATTAAAGTGGGCAAGTATGGGGGGCGTAGTTAGGTAGCCGATGAGAGCGGCGAACGCTTGAGCCTGCTCAGGGCCCCATGAGAATGTGGTATCCTTCTTCAGCAAATCTGTCAGTGGCCGGGCAACGTCAGCGAAGTTTTTCACAAAACGGCGAAAGTAGGAACATAAGCCGACGAAGCTACGGACGTCGGA